AAGATGTCTCCATGTGTCTTTTATTGTGGCGCACACAGGGTTGTGGGGTTTGGATCAGTATGCACTTCAGGGTTTTTGTTTTGTTTTTGAGTCACAGCACTACTATATTTAATTAGATTTAAATGCACCTGGGCCAAGACATGAGAAAGGTCTCTTATCTTAGATGTTTTTTTGTCTGCCTAGCAAGCCTCCGCTCACCACTTCTATTTATAAAGTGGCCCTGGGTCTGGACATTATCAGTGCCCTTAGGAGCCTGGCAGTTGCTGCCTTGTTCTAACAAAGCCCTCTTTCTTCTGATTCCTTGATGGCAAAATGAGATACCCGTGGGCCTCGGTTCTAGTCTCCTTGGGTCTCAGTCAGCCGATGACATGGATGGGTGTGGGAACAATTCACCAGGAGCCTGAGGATCCAGGTATGGGAAGATCTGCTGTTACCGCTTGCTGCTATGTGTGCTGGGAACCAATGAGAACTTCTTGAGCAATCCCCGTTGATGACTTCATAGCACTCTGCCACACACACGCACGCACGCACATACCACCACCACCCACACCCACACACACACATATACACCCCCCCCAAAACCCAAACCTCACAGCCAGTGAGTCAATTCTAATATAGTGACCCTATTGGACAGAGTATAATTGCTGTTGTAGGTTTCTGAGATTAACTCTTTACAAGAGTAGAAAACCTCATCTCACCTTTCTCCTGCTGAGCTGCTGGTGGTTTCAAACTGTGACCTTGCAATTATCACCCAGTGTGTAACCACTGTGCCACTCCTCGAAGTGGGTCGCAGGTCCAGTATAAGTGGCCAGGGTCTTCTAAACAGGATTCTGTATCACTCCCCAGGGACATACGTGTCTGTTTAACATTCAGCTAGCCCTTGCTTGTTTCTGTATTCTTATATTGGTAACTTCTGGTCTGATACCCTGGTGCCTGGCTATCAGAAAGAGTAGTGTCTGGAGTCTTAAAGGCTTATCTCCAAACAAGCAGTCATCAAAGTGAGGCGTCATGGAAGAAGCACATCAGCCTGTGCGATCCTTGGATTGTAAATAATAAAATCCAAATCTGAAGATGGGAATGGTATCAAAACTTGTATTTTGCCAGGAGGGTAAGGGGAAGGTGGGGGAGATAGGGGGAACCAATCACAGTGATGTACATATAACCCCTCCCCGGGGGATGGACAACAGAAAAATGGGTGAAGGGAGACATTGGTCAGTGTGAGACATGAAAAAATAATTTATAAATTATCAAGGGTTCGAGAGGGAGGGGAAAAATGAGCTGATACCAAGGCTCAAGTAGAAAGAAAATGTTTTGAGAATGATGATGGCAACAAATGTACAAATGTGTTTGACACAGTGGATGTATGTATGAGTTGTGATAAGAGTTGTACGAGCCCCCAATAAAATGATTTTTAAAAGCCACAACTTGTGAATACCCAGTTTTCAAAAGGCTATGAATGACAGTAGAAACCAACAATCCATTTGCATGGTCCCCACATGGATCAAGCCTCCGGTGGATCTCCTCTGACCACAGGGATGTGAGAGATGTGAATTTCAGCCTTGCTGTCAAGACAGAGAACATTGTAAAGTTGACTGGGGCAGATGTGGCTGGGTAAAAATGTAATATCATTTGATCTCTCTTTTCGCCCATTTTAAAGTTTGGTTTTTTTCCTTCAGGTTTTAGTATTTCCTGCTTTCTTTTTGATTGAGGTTCTTTTGAGTTTTGTGTAGTCACTGTTGCTTTTTATTGTTGTCAGACAAATGCTGACTCGAAATACTGAAATTCAGTGCTGTGAAGGTGACTTTGATTATAGTGACACCACGTGGCAGACAAACTGTCCTTGGCTTTCCTAGACTCTAGTCTTGGCAGAGGTTTCCTTGTATTCATCCTGCGGAGGGGCTCGCTTGGCTCACACCCCACCTTTCACTTCAGCAGCTGAGAGGTTAGTTGTTGCATGTACCACCAGGATTGCTTGGGTAGCGTCCCTAAAGGTTTGATTCATAAGGAGGAAATCATAAGGAAGCTTAGGATACAATTTTCACCAGTTTGTTTAAACTTTTACAATGTTTCTCCCCTAATTTTGTTGCAGTTTCATTTCATAAGAAGTAGTCAAAAAGCAAAACAAAACAAAAAAGAAGTAGTCACTGGTGAGTATTGTCTATAAAAGTAGAAAAAGCACGCCAGCCTGTGTCACGAGGTGTCAATAGGATCAGGTATCAGGCATGAGGTATCACATCATTGTGAGTGAGGGGGAATGTGGGAGTGGAGACCCAAAGCCATCTGTAGGCAACTGAACACCCCCTTACTGAAGGGTCGCGGGGAGGAGATGAGCCAGTCAGGGTGCAGTGTAACAACAATGAAACATATGACTTTCTTCTAGTTCTTTAATGCTTCTTTCCCCCCACTATCATGATCCCAATTTTACCTTACAAATCCGGCTAGACCAGAGGATGTACACTGGTACAGATCAGAGCTGGAAACACAGGGAATCCAGGACAGATAAACCCCTCGGGACCAATAACTAGAGTAGTGATACCAGGAGGGGAAGGGGAAGGTGGAGGGAGCAAGGGAGAACTGATCACAATGACCTACATATAACTCTCTCTCAGGGGGACGAACAACAGAAAGTAGGTGAAGGGAAACATCGGTCAGTGTAGGGCATGAAAAAATAATAATTTATAAATGATCAAGAGTTTGTGAGGAAGGGAGGGAAAAAGGGGCTGTTACTAAGGACTCAAGTAGAAAGAAAATGGTTTGAGAATGATGATGGCAACAAAGTACAAATGTGATTGACACAATGGATGGGTTGTGATAAGAACTGTATGAGCCCCAATAAAATTATTTATAAATAAATAAATAAGAAGAAATAAAAGTGGAACATCCCCAGAGCCCATCAGAGCGAAGGTTTTGGGATATTTTGGTCATGGAGGTATCCGTGTTGCCTAGAAGAGTGAGTGCCTCACATACCGTCAGGGTTCAGGAGGTGAGGAAGGGCCCTGACACTCTCCAGAAAGCTGCCGGTGCCAGGCTGTCTTTGTTGTTGTTGCCTGACTGTCTTGTTTGATAGGTTGGCAAGTGGACTGGGGGTAATGCTCTTTCCCTGTAGTCTTAATCTCAGGGTTAATTATGCAACTTGTGTTCTGTGGTGGCCAGTGGGTGCCAGGGAGCCAGGGACGTGACAGGAGGGGGGAGAGCGGCTGATTCATCCTTCCCTGAGCAGCTGTGCCTTGGTCTAGCCCCATTATCTGGCAGCATGGTCTGTTTGTGGAGGTAGACGTGGGATGGGTGCTAGGCAGTGTGACATTGTCTGAGAGTGCCTGTCTATTGAAGAATGCTTGCCTGTCCCCAAGCCCCTGTGGCAGCAGAAACCACAACTCTGTGTCACCCTTCTCCGAACACAGCAAAGAGGCCATGGCCCGTTCTCTCCGTGAGCCTTGAGGAAATGGTTCGTCTGCCCTGGCACATGCCTTTCCTTGCCCAGAAAGTCAGTGTGACCTTGACTGCCCATGGGGGGACCTGCAATAAGCACACTGTGTCTTGTCTGGCTGGGTTCACTAATGATTGAAAAGTTCGCTAGCAGCTCAGTGCTCTAAGTACAGTACAGCTAATTTGTTGCCGTAGGTAGGGGTTACAGATGCTCATTGGCATTGAATTATTTCCGACTTACCTGGGCCTTGCCCAACACAGCGTTCCTCCCCAGAGAACCCTTTGATAAATATCACGTTGTGGCTGAAAATAAAAAGATAGAGGAGCTAGGTTACTGGCTCTGAGTCGCGGACTGATCTAATGAATTTGTTTGCAGCCTAAGGAAATAGTCGCCGCATTCTGCCTTTATAATGTTCCTCTGAACTCGGTACTCCAAGAATCACTTCTGCAAATGCAGCTCCGAGCCTGGACCTTTTGTCCTTTACTAGTGTCCTCTTGGGTGGAGGATGCCGGCTTGGGGAGGGCTGCTGACACCTGCTGTTACAGGCTGAGGAGGGATAGTGAGCTGAGGTTGCCAGCTCCAGGCCCTCGGTCTCTGTGCGAAGCTTGCTGTGTAAGGCCCGAAGCTTGCTGTGTAAGGCCCGTGCTCCCCATTCGCCAACCTCAGAGCGACAAGCAGCAGGCACCACCAACCACACGAAGGCGGTGAACTTTTCAGAAGCAGGAGTTGGTTTAAATATAGATGATGTGCTTCACTGGCAACTTGGAGGCAGCGGTGGGACTTGTTGTACCTTTTGTAAGACCAGTGAGGAAAGTCGCTGGCACCTGTACACGCGCAGTTTGTTTTTGAAATATAAACTCTCCTGTAGAAACAAGGGCTGGCGGGGAGAGTCGGGGAGTGGGTGTCGGTATTCCAAGGTAGAACATCCTTCCTTGGCTTGGGAAAGGTACCCCTCCAAGTGCTCGCTGTGAATTGCCTTGATCTCTAGAGAGAGATATGGGGTAGCCAGGCAGAATGATTGGACTTTTATTTCTTGAGCTACTGAAGTGGGTTCCTCCTAAACCCCACCCGGCCCGGGAGTGGGGTGGGGTGGGGGTGGTGCTGCTCCCAGCCACAGGGGTTAGTAAAGTTTTCATGCAAATGACAGTCCCTGGACATGATTTTCTTTCCCAAGGAGAAGAAACAATGCCTGGGGATCTGGAGAGCCCAGTCATGATTCAGAGAAATGGAAGCTCTTTTTCAGCCTGGGAGACTTGATATATGTACTGGCCAGCTTGCTCCGAGCTGAGGGGTCCTATGGGAGCGGGCAGCAGCCCCCGCCCTGCGGCCCTGCTGGCCGGGGCTTGGGTGGCCTGGGCCTGGCGCCGTGGTTTTGCAGCACGTCCTCCTCAGCATTGCACAGCAGCTGTCAGAAGCTTTTTCCTGCCGCGCCTGAACTGATGTCATTTCCCCCTTGGCAGGCAGCTTCAGCTCTGCTGCGCCTGAGATATGTCACAAGAAGGTGGGGGTGGGTCAGAGCCCGGCAGTGGGGGTGGAGGGAGTAGTGAGGCGAGCAGGAGGGCCAGTGCCTGCCTCTGTCCCTGGACTCTGTTTACTTTCTCTTCTTTGCAAAGGAAGGCTGTCTAGCCAGGACTGTGGGGCATGCTGGCCTTTGTCAGGGAAATTCTCGTGACCAGATCCTAACTTTGAAGGCCCTTTGTTCCTAACATCAGTGTGGACGATGCTCTTGCAGGATGCCTTTCCTTTTGGGTCTTAGACAGGTAATTCCTGGCTCGGTGGGTCGGGTTTGGGAAGGGGACAGGGTGGGGGAACTTGGTTTAGGTACCGCTCCTCTGGGTGGAGGGGATCGTTGCAAAAATGCCTCGTAGAACAGACCAGCCGTTTCCAGCCCTCCCTCCTTGTGTGCCAGTGACTTCGGACTTTCAGAGCCTCCATATTCCTAACACCCCACCCCACCCCACCCCGCCCCCTTGTGTGTGGTGGTCTCTCTCTCTCTCTGTAGCCATTCAACTCTGGTGTCCAGGAGGCATCGTAATTTTGTTGCTGAAGCTAGGTGGAGGAAACAGCTGGGAGACAGCGAGGGTGAGGAGTGGGTGGGGGGACTTGAGTGGGATTCGTAATCAAAACCCCTTTTATTCCTTCCCCTGCATTTTGATTTAGCTGCTAGACAGATCTGTCATCGTGGCCTTATGATCCTGAAGGGAAGGACCTGCAGTTGGGGTTGTGTGGTGAGGGGTGTCCTGACTACTTCAGGGAGATGGGATGGGAGGTTGACCCTCCTTAGGCCCCACTGACCGATTTTTCAAAGCAAATAGACCTGTGTGGCAGAGACTTTATTGCTTTGTGAGTTGCTGTTTGAGCGAGGAGCACTAAATTATAGCCAGTAACCTAGTGTGGAATGAGAAAACGGTAGCGACCGACCAACTGCTGTCTGCTGAGAAGGCAGCTGTTGCCAGCTATTTGTTCCAGGGCTACTGAGGGTTGGGCACCCCCACCCCCTCTTTGGTCTGAGAGGCATGTCCATATAGGAATGTGTAACTGTAACCAGCTGGCCTAGCTAAAAGAGGGGGTAGGGACAGACACCACCCACTCACCCCTCTGCTGCCGGTTCCTGGGTGCTGCTAAGAACTATGGATTTAATCTCAAGAAAAGTGCTAGGCGAGCAAGTCTCCTGGGGCTCGTCTGGAAGTCTTCAGAAGAAAGTGCCTCTGAAGAGCTCTGGACACCCCTTCAGAAAATGATCCTTGGACGTGGCTGGCGGACAGAGGATGGGCACCCATATTTAGCAGTCTCCTCCCCACCAGGAAGGGCAGTGGGCAGAGAAGACCACCAGTGAAGATTCTGAGCAGGATTGAAAACAGGCTGGAAAAAAACAGCCCGTTGCTATGTCAGCCAGGTGAGGAGAGAGGGGAGAGTGGACAATGAAGGTTAGGAGCCAGAAAGACCTGCAGTTCCATCTGGGTTCCTTTGCAGGCTGGCTGGCATATAACTGCTCCAAACTTCACCTTTGAAATGCAGAGCACAGCACCTACTCAGAGAGTTTGGGGGAGGATTTCCCAAGAGGATGTGTGTAAAGCATTAGTACCTTGCCAGACAGGGAAAAGGCCTGTTGTAGAAGCGGAACTTTTACTTTTACCTACTTACTCCTAAAAGAAGCCAAGACCACAGATATATAAGAAATAGGCACTAGTAAGCAGTTTCTTTTTAGAGAGGTGTCAGGGTAACAGATCGAAGTCCCCAGCAGTTGGATTAAAGTCTCAAACCCATGATGTTTGTGACTGATCACTGTGCGTTGACTCAGAGCTGGGAGGCTGTCTCATTACTGTTCATCCCATGTACGAATCCAGCTACTAGATCAAGTGAGAGAATTCAGGTGTAAGTAGTAGCATCGTCCAAAAGGACATTTGTGATCTGTCCTAAAATATAACACTGTCAGTGATAGGATAATGTCCACATTCCTGTAAGGAAGACCGGTTAATACTACTATTATTCAAGTTTATATACCAATCAATAATATCAAAGATGAGGATATTCAACATTTTTGCCAATTTCTACAGTCTGAAATTGATGAACGATGCAGTCAAGATGCATTGATAATTACTGTTGGTTGGGATGTAAAAGTTGGGAATAAAAAAAGACAAGCAGTTGGAAAATAAGGCCTTGGTGATAGAAACAGTGCCAGAAACCATATGATAGAATTATGTAGGACAATGATTTTTTTTTTATTCATTCCAAATGCTTTTTTAAACAACATCAATGGTGACTGTACACAGATGAAATACACAGGAATGAACTGGGTTATATACATGCAAAGTGATGATGGAGAAGCTCAAGTCAGAACAATGCCATAAGTCAAAGCTGAAGAAAGTTAAAGCAAGTCCACAAAGGCCATAGTGTAACCTTGATGTGGCCCACCTGAATGTAGAGACTATCTTAAGAATAGATTTGATGCACTGAAAACTAATGACCAGAGATGTGAGGTGATGCAGAATGACATGAAGGACATCATGCATGAAGAAAGCGAAACGTCATTAAAAAGACAAAAAGTCCAAAATGAATGTCAGAGAGACTTTGAAGCTTAATCTCGAACAAAAAATGATTAAAGCACGTTGCAAAATTGAGCTGAAATATGATTTCAAGCAGTGACTGGAGAAGGTTAAGTATGATAATGAAAGATACAAAGACTAATCGAGAGCAAAGTCAACGTTCGGCATTTCTCAAGCATGGACTATTGCAAGCAGCAGCAGCAGCATAATAAGCAAAGAAAAGATTGAAGCTGTCAAGGATTTCGTTTTGCTTGGATCCTTCATCAGTGTTCATGGAAGCAGCAAACTTACTGCACTGGGCAAATTTGCTGCAGAAGACCTCTTTAAAACATTAAACAAAGATGTCACTTGGAGGATCAATGGGTACTTGTCCTAAGCCTTAGTATTTTCATTCACTTCATATGCATATGTATTAGGCTGGGTTGTCTACAGAAACAAATTCCTAGCATTCATATGTATATAAGAAAG